ATGAGGGGATAAATTAATGTTACACATGGCATATCATATTTTATTAATTGCAATTAATAATTTAATGTTTTTGTGTCATCCATTTTTGAACTATGACTTCGGACAGGTATGTACACAACACTTATTGGAAGAACATTTGGTTTCAGATAACCTGATATGAGTATTGTCAGAAGCTGGACCCTGCATGAAATTTGTCTCTATAATTTATTTTCTGTCTACTTTCCTTTTGAGGAATTGTATAAAATTCAGTGTCATAAAGGGAACAATGATGATGCCCTACAAACTCATTTGAAGGAATTAGAAATGTATCCTAATTGTATTTTTAATTTTCAGTGATGTGAGGGTTTTTAATACATCTACTTGGGATTTTAAATCATTTTAAACATATTTTATGTTACTAATAAATAAAAAAAGAGAATCTTAATATAGTATGTTAGAAAGAATATCAGAAAATATTCAATACTTCAGTTCAATAATAATTAGCAAAAATAAATAGTAATATTGTTGATGGCTACTTAAGCAAGGTAAAATTATTTTATTTAGCCCAATCTAAACTGTTTCAATGACTTGACCCATGTCATATGTGGCATTCTCTGCTAATAGTAATGACACAGTACTGCTCATTTTGGGCAAATGTGGCCTAGTATGCCAGAAATGCAATCAACTTTTAGTCTAACAACACACAAAATATTTCACAAAAGCTAGGATCTTGTGATTAATTAAGACGGTACATGCAGTGAACTGACACTTGTGAAAGCCTCAGTTCATCAAAGTTATAAATGGTGTTGAAGGTGAATATTCATGAGCCAATTTTCAAATGACCATGGTGTGTGAAAGATCATGAATTAATGAAATGAAATGAAATAAAATAAAATGAAGGCAGGGTATGAATTTAAGAGAATGCTGAAAAAGGTAACAGATATGAATGAAGGTCTGAACTTTCAAATAGAGTTAATATGTAGGCAGAAGTGAAAATACAAATTTAATTGGAAAATAAAAGGGCTAAATATGTAAAAAAAACATGATCTAGGCTCTAGATAGTCAAGTAGAATGTCTTATGTTAGTGATAGTTCTATATTTATGTTCTAGAAAGAATAAAAATTGAATTTTGGGGAAAAACTGTATGAAAAAAAGAATTACTCTAGTAGATTACATAGGTGAGAGTGAGAATGAGTACAAAAAGAAGTGACTCAGCCCTTCAGAGCCAAAGGAATGAATGAGAATGGTGACTGGGGAGTATTTGCTTAGAAAAAGGACAGCTCTAAATACATGGTTTAAGCATACAATGAATTTAAAAGTGTAACTGGTTTGAGTATGATGAAAGACAGAGAGGTGATGGATAGCAGGCTGACAAGAGGTTCTGAATGTGGAGCAGACTCTTTTTCTGGTAATGACAAGAGTGGATGTGGGGGGGAAATTGAACAAGGAAGAAAAGAAAAAAAGGTGAAAAAAATAGAGTGAGAATAGAACTGGAGAAAGAAAAAGTCCTAAATGGAAAAGTCTTGCAAAACTGATTAATGTAAGCTTCCAACAGAATGAAAACAAAGTGGCCATAAGAAAGATGATACGGAAACTGATGCGGAAAAGAGCAACAAGAATTATGGCACAAAGTGCCACACAAGTATGTGAGGTTATGCTAGTAGGAAGTATGAAGGCTTACAGGAAGATGAACTGAAAAAAGCTATTATGAGAAAAATGGTATATAAAAGAATTATTGCTGAAAATTTTTTGAAAGGAAAAGTACTGTATAATGCATACAGAGAGGAAAAAATAGTTGGAACTAATATACCCTAAGAAAGCAAGGAATCATTAACATTTAAAAAGACAGAAAAATCAACTATTTTTATGGATTTTTTTTAAAAATTGAAATGGATGTGATTAAACAAGAAATCTTCAATGAAGGAAATGGATGAAATTATTTGTAATTGAGAGAATGAGTAGTAAGATTTTTATGTAAAAGATCATGATTGGTAGAAGAGTGTAATTAATGTTACAAACATTAGTGACTATGAAAAATATGATTTGCTCATGGTTATACGACTTGCTTAATATCTATGTGCAGATTGTATCTGATCCTGAAGATTGGATTAATGCCATTATTGTTCCTCTCTACAAAGAGATAGGTAACAAAACTTTCTGTTTAGCAGAATTTTGTGTGAAAGTGTATGAGGAAGAATCATTATTAAAATTTAGAACTGCATCACAAATTTATGCCAGGGGAACCCAAATCAAATTTTTATTCTTCAGTAGGTCACTGAGGAATATGTGACCGTCAGAAAGATTATGATACATTTATCATTTTAAAGAAGGCATATGATAAAGTGAATTGGAAAAATTCTCATATTCTGAAACAGAAATACAAAATGTTTTAATGGACTAACTCAGTATAAGATGCATGAGATTTGGACATTGAAAGAATTTTTGAAAATTTAACTTTTCAATATAGGTAAATGGGCAAGGACATATAAACTATCAGGAAAATCAGGAGCAGGAAAACTTTATCAGGTAGGTTTTTAAAATGAGAAGGGAAAAAAGCATACTTTGCTTTCTCTCTTTGCTCTTTATTCATATTGGAACTCTTTCTGCAGGGCTTGCACAAAGCCACATAAAAAAGGAATCCCCAACACATAATCTGGATTGGAGAACAGGGAATTTTACAGCAAGCTAGACCAGAGGTCCTCAATCTTTTGGGCACCAGGGACTGGTTCCGTGGAAAGAGGTTTTTTCGCGGACCAGAGGGTGTGTGGTTTTGTGTGCTGCCTGCATCCCGCAGATGGGGCTTTGCTTGTTTGTGCGGACTGTTTGCTGGCATACCATGGCCCGGTTCTGGTCCACAGCCCGGGGGTTGGTGACCCCTGAGCTAGACTATTCAAAAGTTTGTAACTGACACTCAATCTAATTTAAAATATATGTGACTATGTCATGAGAAATCATATTCCAATGCAGTGTTACAAGGAATTTCAATCATTACATTTTACCTCATTTATATTATTTATATAATTTAATAATTTGTATTCCTTGAAGAAAAATTTTAGTATGGGTTTTTTCATATTAGATTGCAGTGCATACATATCCATTTTATTAGAGTGTGCATGTTCTGTACAATATCCTCCTTTAAAAGTAACTAATATTTTTTGATTTTATTTCCACTGAACAAAAGCAATTCAAAAATAAATGTGCAACATCTGCTTTTATCAAAAAGAGAAATTAAGGCACAGACCTCAAAAACTGGGTTTACAGTTTTTATTTATCTTGTTCATCCAAGCTTAATAAATTTTCAAACATAGATCAATCCTCATTTTAATGGACTTCTGTTTAGAGGACTTCAGATACAAGACTTCCGTCTAGAAAATCACTTGGAAAAAAACACAGACAAAAGCCATTGTATCTGAAGTTGTCCAGGCAAATCATATTGATTAGGTTATTTGCATCTATTTATATCATCTATTTAATATGGTAACAATGCAAATTGATGAACTGATGCAGATGACAGAAGTTGATATTATTTATGGATTTAACAAATATTTGATTCTAAATGACCCATTAAACTGAGGGTTTATTATATTACTACTTTGTAGTAGGTCAATTAATTTTGAAAAGAAAAAAGGATATTCTCAAAACTAACAAGAAAAACAATAAAAAAACTCTAAAGTTTGAACACATTTCTACACCAAGCCTACTTTTGTTATTCAGGAATGTATGTATTATCCAACATATGTAATACATCATAACAAATGTCAGAACATTGAAAAAATATAAGTTAATAGCTTGACATACCTTAACATGGCTTGCAGAAACAAATAAAAAGTAATAACCAGAGATTTGTAATTTCAAAGAACCAGGAACCAGGAAACATTTCATTAGATTTATTCTGTTTTCTGTTAAATATGTTAGTATTAAAATGCCAGAAATAAAGCCTTGCCATATGAAAGAGCAAACAGAAGAGAATTCATGTTCTAAGAGAAGCTATATTTTACTAGATTTGCTATTTGTCCAAATTTGCTGTGGATACACTTTATGTTATGTATTATACCAAATACATTAGATTACCTGCAAAAGTCCTGAACAATCCACGTGAAATAATATCTAAAGTACAAACGTGTCATTTCATAGGCTGGCATTAAAAGTTTCCATATAATTTAGAGTTTCCAAAGAGGAGGCAGCAAGTATCCAAGTTGGGGCAAAATTGTTGTCTTGAAAATGCTTGCAATACAGGTAGTTCTCAACTTATGACCATTAATGATGGTTTGGAGTTATGACAGTGCTGAAAAATGTGACTAACCCCTGTGATTATGTGATCGCTATTTGGGCACTTGGAAACAGGCACACATTTATGACAGTTGCAGTGTCCTATGGTCACATGATTGCTATTTGGAATTTTCTAGCTAGCTTCTGACAAGGAAAGACAATGGGGAAAGCTGGATTCGCTTAATGACTCTGTGACTCACTTAACAACTGTGGTAAAAATGGTTGTAAAATTGGGTCTGGTCATGGGATAACTCGTTTAATGACCTTAGTGAGCAAAATTCCGGTTGCAATTGTGGTAGTAAGTTGATGACTACCTGTACATTAATAGGCCACTGAAGCAGAAAATGCCACAGTTCAGGTGTAAATGTTTTTACAAAAATAAACTATTTCTTTAGTTCTCTTTTTCAAGAACAGGATTAATTTTATGGATTAATAGAGCCCTGCAGAAATTCACAGCCTCATGGTTGATACTGCAATAAGAAAAGATAGCATTTTCAAATATATCTTTAAAAATAGGTATGAAAATTAGCAAGTTTAAAGCGAATAAATGGCAATAATTTAAATATATAAGCTTTTATATACACATACACATATACACAACACACTATTTTGTATGTACAATATAACCTAAGTATATACTATCTTCACCTCCTTGATGATTCTCAATCTTCCACGTGAGCTACCTTTCAGCAGCAGAAAACATTTATCAAGACAGTTCCCATCTTTGAATGCAGGCAAACTGCTGTACTTACTTTTGGTGTGGGACAGGAAGCAGTAGAGAGGCGAGAAGTAGCTTGGGCACGAGGGGATTCTGAAGGGGTAGTGCTAAGTGAGGCTGTGTCTCGTGGAAGCACCTGAACGCCACGAGATATGATGGAATCTGGAATCTAAATATGAAAATAAATTGAAATTAAATCTATTTGAAATTATGTACATAATTTAGAAAAGAAAATATTTCCATACTTAAATACAGCTTAAAATCTTTTTGGAGCTGAAATTAGTTCTCCCCTTTTTTTTTGTCTTCAGAAAAGAAGTCAGGAACTTTCTTTTCAGTTACCTTTTTAGAATTATTAAGCGGTTTAACCAGTTATAATGTATACTTAGCCCTTTGAGTGTCCAGTGGAATACATTTCCTAATGGGTGGGAAAATATACACTGAAATAATAAATAATTAAAATCTATTGTCCTCTGTTTTTTCTCACAACACATCTCCTTTCTTTAATACAATTAGCAATCTACTAGGAGTCCTAAAAAAAATTAGGCAGAAAGTCTCAAGATTGATTGGGCTACTTGAATGGCAATTTTAGCCAAGATTGATTTTGACTGATAGAGAAGGAAAATCGGCTTTGTCTAAGAAACAATAGCTTCGAACTCAGCTTTAATGTAAAAGTAGCAGCAACTTTCTAGTTATTTGGAATGGTAGCAAAAAAAAGAGAGAAAGAGCTTTTAGACCATTTCACAAATTTCTAAACAGCTTAGAGGGTTTTCTTTACAGCAGGATATCCTGCATGTTTAAAAATGATAAATTAATGTGAAAACAGGGTTGAAAATATTTTCTTAAAAAAACAGGAAGGGTGATATTTTTAACTAAATTTACTGATATTTCCATTCACAAGCACTACTACAGAAAAGGCTTTCTTTCTGGTTGCCAATTTCAGAGCTTTGGAGGGTAGATATACATAGATACTCTTAGGCCTCAGGATGAAAATAATCTGGCATTTTCTGAGCCTGGTTGCCAGGATACTGTACTTCTTGGTGACACCATACAATTTATTAATATTATCGGATCCCTGCTGAACCAATACCATTTTAAGTATTTACTTCGTCATTTCCTGGGAATCTTAGTCATCTATGACTTTAAAAATGGTTTTATATTTATATAAATATATTACTGGTTACAGCCAGCTGTGTAGAAAACAATAACAAATGTGGAACATAAACATTTAAAATAAACAAATTAGGAAAATACATAGGACTGCAAACAATATAATTAAGAAGATGTAATATTTTCACCAAGTCAAGTTAAGAGATAAATTGATAGTTCTGCTCTGTAATTAGTTCGATTTAGATTATTAATGGTAATATAAAATGCAGTCAAGAAATTTGCATATTTGACTCCCACCCTAATTTAATTAACATAGGAGTCGAATCTATCTCTCTACATAAAGTATATCTTATGAAAATATGCAGAAAACATTAGTCACCTATACTAGAGATTTTTACTCAGATTCCAGATTACTGAATCCTGCTTTGATAATTAAAGTACCAGTTTCCTTAGGGGGTCTTATTTTTTTAATATAAAAAACCCTTTTAAACATTTCCCTCATAAGATGTTCTTTCTATCTATATGCTGCTTATATTTTATGCAAATATTTTTACTTTGGAGTGTATGTGTATCTAGGTCTCTCTGTCTCTCTGTTTATCTCAGTATCCATCCATCCATCCATCCATCCATCCATCCATCCATCCATCCATCCATCCATCCAAATATTTTTTTTAAAAAATCTAGATTTCTATTTTAAAATTGAATTTATTATTAAGAATTACATTTTTTAACTGGTTATACCATAAAAGATATAGGTATATGGTGTCCTTGGTGCTCTCTGATCTTGGTTGTTATATTTTCTCAATTTCTTTCATGAATTCTTTGGATCTAGGTCCTTATTTAGCAAAATAATTCTATTTAACTTAATGAATTTATTCTCTTCCTTTTCTCATCTCCCTCTTGATCCTTTTCTTCCCTTTCACTAATCTAGGGTAACGCACTACAATGTTTTCAAGTCACAAGATTTATTTCATAAATACAAAAGGAAAAAAGAAAAAAAAGATGCAAGAAAGAACCAACAAACATAAAGAAACATGAGGAATATGCAATGTTAAAGAGAAATGTTGGCAGATACTATATAGAAAATTAAGGAGGGAAAATTGAAAAATATCTGACAGTATGTCTAATGTATCCAACAGTATTATTTCATGAAAAGAGCATGAAAAATGATCAGGCATTTTTTTCAAAATTCCAATTAGGCTATTCTAAATTATACCCAGTAACCAAAATCTGCCTTATAAATTACAGCTGAGAAATTACTTAGCCTTATTTCGGCAATATTAGTCATTTCATGCTTTTCTGTGTTTCTGCTTCACGAAGAAATCTTAGCACCAATTGATCTTATTCTTTTTCTCCTCTCAAGGCTCAGTATCATCAGTTTAGTTTCTTCTGTTACAGGTAAATTATAATACTTGGTTCTCCCCAGTGATCCAGAGTTCTTCAAAAACTTGAAGGTATAAATGTTTTTGTTATTGAGTTATTCTAATATTAAGTACCCATAGAGTACAAGAAAAACCTACCCAGGGAAAGAAGTTCATATAAATTTATTTGAAGTCTTAAGTCTAGGAAAAAAAATGGAACAGTATTTTGTTCGCACATAAATGCTAAGCTGAGTGGACTGAGTTCAGTAACTTTTAAATCTAAGAACCTGCAGTGTTTTTTGAAACCTAAAATTAAAGAAACTTTGAAAGATCTATACAGACTTTGTTATAAATAGGTTCTGAAGAGGAGGAAATTGAACTGAAGAGGAAATTGAGAGCTTTCTTAGTGGGATGTTTTAGCAAATTTTTAGGGGGTACGGGGAGGGCCGGGGGGGCATGGGGGATGCCTCTCTGGGGCCAAGGCCGGGCCTCTCTGAGGGACGCGGCGTGGGAGTGGAGGGGGAGGTGGTTGGGGGGTCAAGAGAGGGTGGTATGATTAGTACGGTCAGTGGGAGGGGCAGATATGGCGGGAGCAGAGGACCATATCGGGTTTGGGGAGCACGCACACGCTGTTTACAAGTGTGTGGGTGCTCCGGTCCTCAGGGCTCCACTCGGTCTCCAGGGATCTTAGATCCTCTTGCCCGGGATCACCGGCTGATGTTATGCAATGCCAGGTCAGTGGTGAACAAAGCCCCCCTCATTCAAGATCTTATTCAAGAGGGGGGTGCTGACCTGGCAGGTATCACCGAGACCTGGCTGGGCACGGAAGGGGGAGTGCCCCTTGTTGACATCTGCCCGCCGGGTTTCCAGGTATTCCATCAGCCAAGGACCCGGGGTANGGGGTGGGGGGAGAGTCGGGATGGTATTATAAGTATGCATTAATAGTTATATAACTAAAATGTGTTATGTTAGAATTGGAATGTATGTATGTTAATGCATTTTATGTTTGAAAGATGTATAATTTTTTCTATTTTAAAAATAAAAATTTAAAAAAAAAAAATGTTACTACTACACTACCAATCTCTCAAGTATAACTTTAAGTTAATCTACAATTCTATTCAAATCTATCACCCTCAAAACATTGAGAATGAAAAACAACACAGCTCCACAGAGTCTTTTTATAGAAGTGCCTACATGTATTTGATAGAATTCCATCCTTGCCAAAATAAAATCCACTGGAATTCCTTCTAAGATAAAATTTATTGAAAATCAATCTGTTTTGCTGAGCTATTGGATTTTCAATACCTCTTTACCAAGTAGCTATTCTTTTGTAAAATAATTTATGAATTCATTGATAATGCTGTTAAATCATTATAGTCATTTACATGTGAGAATTTTTATACCAGAAAAACAGATTATAAATAATCACCTACTCTTATGTCATGGTTCTGACTAATGAAACCAAATAAATCAGAACTCCAAGGCTTGAAAGCTTCCTCAAATCACATGTTTATTAGATACATAATATCGGCCCAATCAAAAATGAAACCAACTCTGAAATTTCCCTAGAGATTCAATGTAACTAAAAATAACATTTCCCTCCCCTCTACTATGCTCTAGATCATACAACCCAATATAAGTAATTGGCGGGCTCCTCAATTCGTCTTCGCTCCTCCTTCCAGCACCTGCAGGAATGACTTTTGTTACCATAGGACCATTCTGCGTTTTGTCTAGCAATACTTTCATTTTTCTTCCCCTCCCCCCCCCTAATCTATGTGGCAACTTAGAACAACAAAGATGGCTTCAGTCAGGTTTGTTTCAGAAGTTGACAGTCGGACTTCCCTAAAGAGAAAGTAGTTCCTGAAAGATATTAAGCATAGATACACATTTTGCTAATCTTTTGATGGCTCCCTAGGCTTTTGGGGATGTTTATCATAAAACATTTGCATTAATCTGTCTGCCTTTACATTTCTACTCTTCACCTGTGTAGGTTCTGACAAAGGGTAGGCCTTCCATTGAACTAGATACTGTAATTTCCCTTTATACAAACTAGAGTCAAGAATTCATTTTATTTCATAATGGGTGTCACCTTCCTCTATAATGGGATCTGGGGCAGTTCTAGGTATTGGTCTCAAAGTCAATTCTGTAACTGGTTTCAACAAACTGCAATGGAAAACTGGATGTATTTTCACCAATAGTCATGGGAGCTTTAGCTCAGCTGTGTCAGGATTAATAATCTTTACATTGGGGAAAGGACCAATTTGGGCCCAAGCTTTTTGCATGAAAGTTTTAATCTTAAGTATTTGGTCAAGAGATAGACTTTCTCTTCTATATGAAATGGTTTCTGGGAGGACTGCCTCTTATCAGGCTGCTCCTTTTGAATCTTTGTGGCTTTTTCTAAGGCACATTTGACATTTGCCCAAGTGTTCTGCAATTTGTTTACCCACTCAGTTAGTGTTTGTGATGAGGGGAGTTCCTGAGAGTATTCAAGCATAGGCACAAACTCTCTGCCTATAGCTACTTTAAAGGGAGTTAGAGCAGGGCTTTTCAACCGGTGGTACGTGTATCACCAGGGATACGCGAGCACCTGGCTGGTGGTATGCGTAGGACGGGTTGAACAGCACTTTAAAAAAATGTAAAAACAAATGTAAAAAAATGTAAAAAAAGTGTAAAAGTGGATGAGGTGAAGCGGCAGCAGCGC